TAAGTAGGAGCTTTAGACCACTGTGCCATCTCACCAGCCCAGTTTAATTCTTAATAATTAAAAAACATTAATTTTGTTTTTGAAACATTGCTTACTTCTTTCTTTGCTGTTCCTTTGTGTTTGGGGGGAAAAAAAGAAAGGAGGAATAGAGGGGTGGAGATGATCTCAGGCAAGCAGAACACCACCATAATGATAGCGGCCTGTATTGGTCACGGTTTTACTTAGAGTAACAGATATAATGTAAGGATCAGATATTAACACAAGGTATACAATGTATAAGGAATTACAAAGTTGGCTTAGGACAGTCAGCCGCAGAGTCAGATGGAAGAGTGTGCAGAGGGCGTCTGCACACCCCAGACTGAAGAGTTCAGTCCCAAGGTCTGAAGCTCACTGCTGTGCTCCGTGCAAGTCTCTATTCGTCAGCTGATGGGTCTGCGAGGGACAGAAGGTGAAGGGCATCCAAGCCGGAGGTGGGCAGGCCCAGCGATGAAGTCCAAGCCGAAGGCAAACACTGGAGTTCCTCCGACTAAGGGGAAGGCCTACTCCTTCCTCAGCCCCTTTATGGGGTCTCTTTGTGCTGAGTCACTCTGGAGGCAGAACCAACGGCGCCCTAGGGCGGGACCCCTGCCAGCCGGAAGTGCACCGCGGAGTCATCTGGCCAAATTGACACAATGTATCAACCACTACACGGCCCTTGTCATTTTTCTGTGGGTTAACACTGTTCTTCCTATGTGTTTCAGCATAATAACCTTAATCTTTATTCTCTGCATTTGAAGTAGCTATGATTATTAGCTCCATTTCTTATGCTTGGGGAAACTGAGGCACAGAAACTTTATATAACATACAAAAAAATCACAGAGCCTGTTCACAAACTGGAAATGTTAAAGTTGAACATTAAAGTTCAAATTTTCAGAGGCCAGGTGTAAGTGGCGCACACAGGTAATTCCAGCACTTGGGAGGCTGAGGCAGGTGGGTCGCTGAGAGTTCCAGGCCAGTGTGGCTTTTTTTTTTTTTTGGCAGGACCGGAGATTGAACTCAGGCCCTTGCTCTGGCCAGAGAAGCACTTATTCCACTGAGCTATTATTTTTTATTTTATTTATTTATTTATTTTTTGGTGGTACCAGGGATTGAACTCAGGCCCTTGCTCTGGCCAGAGAAGCACTTATTCCACTGAGCTATTATTTTTTATTTTATTTATTTATTTATTTTTTGGTGGTACCAGGGATTGAACTCAGGCCCTTGCGCTTGCCAGGCAAGCACTTATTCTATTGAGCTATCTCCCTGGCCCTCCCCCAGAATTTTGAAGAAACCATTATCTACAGTTTAGGGAAATTACTACTCACTTAAACAAATAAATAAATAAAGCCCACTCTGGGGGATTCAGGGGGGATTACAAGTTCAGCCCAGCCTTGGCAATTTACAAATGTAGGAGATTTGTGCCTCCAAATTTTTAAAAGGTGGGAAATATGGTAGGGATATGGTTCAATACAAAGTTCCTGGGATTCAATTCACAGTTGCGGGGAGGAGGAATTTTCAGTAACTGCTTGCTTGCCCTTAGAAAAGATGATTCCAAAGGTCACACTTCCCATACTCCCGAAGATGACTTCGCTTGAATGTCCACTCTGTATGAGAAGTAACGCGTTGCCCTTAAGAAAAATGGCAGCTGTCCGGGCTTCCTGCCATTTTTAAAGATGGCGGTCTCGGTCCGTACGGGCTCTGGTCGGGAGCCTTTTCCGGGCTCGGCAGAGGGCGGGGTCCATTGAGTAGTCTTGCGTGCCCGCGCCCGCGACGGAGGTGCGCTTCAGGGCGCAGGCGCGGGGAGGGGCTGGGGGAGGAGAGAAAGCGGCGAGTAAGATGGAAGATGAGGAGGTCGCTGAGAGCTGGGAGGAGGCGGCAGACAGCGGGGTAAGGAGGAGCCGCCGCCCCGGGGCAGGGCCGGGCGGGACCTGGCGTGAGAGAAGCCTCCGGGGAGCGGGTCTAGGGATGGTTCTCCCCAAAGAAGGGCCTTACACACCGGACCGGGAGTGGAGGAGAGGCCCCCGGTCCCTGAGCGCCGTGAAGGCCTCTTAAAGGGGCCGCGTTCCATTTGTCCCTCCACCTTGGCCGGGCGCGCCTCCCTCCGCCCCCCGGTACGTGCGTCACTCGGGGCTCCCCACCGGCACTAGAGCCTCTGTCCCTGTCCCTGCCCTCGCCCGCTGGTCCCGACCTACTTGGACCCTTCTTTTCCAGTCGAGTTTCCCCGTCCGAGGCACCATTTTAAAGTTCATGTGCTCCGATGGGTCGCGGGGGGGGGACTCCCCATGAGGGCGGCGGCGGGGAGCTGGAAGGGGCCGCTGGGGCGGCGCGGGGGCACAGCGAGTACTTTCGGGCCATCACGCTCCCTGCCACAGTCGCTCACCGCTTTGCGCCATCCGCCAAGGTGGGCGAGCCTGGGGATTTTTTTTTTTTTTTTCCTCTTTCAGTTTTACTCTTGAGAGGCGGTGGCAGGCGTGTCTCCCAGGACCCCTGCAGAGCGACGCGAAGCCTCGTGGGCCGCCCCTCTCCCCGGGGATCCCCTTTTCCTCCCACCTACCTTCGCCCCTGGGAGGGTCTGGTCTCGGAGTGTGCTCGTCGGGGTCGAGGAGGGATGGGTGCGATTTGTTTAAAAAAAAAAAAAAAAAAAAAAGCTGCAATCTGGGACGGGGGTAGATGGACCGTTCGACTCGATTTTGGAGTTTTTGTTGGCCTCCCCAAGCTGTAGAAAAGTAATTTGTGCCAAGCAGAGACTTCCGATTCTTCTAGGTTCGGGTTTAACTTGGTTTTTGCGGTTGGTGGTTCTCTCGTGACACCCTCGTGAAAGCGGGGACATCCCAGTTTGGTGCCCCCGGTTCGTGGCTGTGCGGTGCTGGCTCGAGCGTCCCCCATCTGGAAGGCTTAGGTGTAGGACCTGGGTCACCCAAGCGTCCCTGCAGAAAAGGACGGGAAACTGATCCCCGCCACAGTGCGTGTATCTCGGAGGGAATGTTGAAACTTGGCTTTGAAGGTTTTTTGTTTTTTCTTTTTTTCCCCCCGCTGGTTCAGCTTTTCTCCCACGGTTGCTTGTTTTTCCTCCTAGTGTAACTGAACAGTTGAAGGAACACTTCATTCAGAGGGTATTTGGAGGCGTTCTTAGGTGACTATCCAGCTTTCTGGAGTTTTGGCTTGAGTCAAGAAGGTTTTGTAGGGAGTAACAGGTGTATCGATTGGATATTTATTTGTTCACCAGAATTGTGGAGTGTCTGCTGTGTGCAGGCAGTGTGCTTAACAGTGACTTCGTGTCAAGGAATGCAGGATTTTCAGTAGAGGCCTTTAGTGCTACTTTTAATTAGTTAATTAATTTATTTTTATTAGTTTATTTTTTTTGTGGTGCTGGGAATTGAACTCAGGACCTTGTGCTTCCCAGGCAGGTGCTTATGCCGCTGAGCTAGCTCCCCATCCCCAGAGACCTTTAGTGCTTGCCACTAATAAGAAATCGAATCATCTAGACATCCCTCATGCCGTCTTCTGTGAAAAGCCTGGCTTGCAATTGGAATGCAACCCAAACTAGAAGTTTCTTAGGCACCTAGATTTTTGTTTGTTTGTTTGTTTTCCTCACCTATTTGAGGGATGGGTCTTTTTCCCCCTGTACTGGAGGATCAAACTCAGGATCTTGCACCAGGCAGGTACTTAATGCCACTGAGCTATCTCCCTGGCCCTCCTCACCTATCTGGGAAAAAAGAAAGTCCCATGTAAGAGGTGGAGCCCAAATCTTGGCTCGCTGATACCGTGAGAGTATTGCCAAGTTTTATTTTATTTTATTTTTTATTTTTATTTATTTTTTTTTTTGTATTTAGAGCAGGGTCTATAGGGTCCCACTACACAGATCAAACTTGTAGTGATCCTCCTGTTTATAGCCTCCCAGATCCTGGGATTACAGGCGTGGACCACCATACCCAGTCTCAATCTCAGGGCTGGGCTGGCATGGCAGGCTGGGTGATCAAACCTCTGGCCCCTGTGTCTGCCTAAGCAGGTGCTTTAATCCACTGAGCTGTTTGGCTGGCTCTTAGCTTCTTTATGTTTCTTTTATTCAGTTGAGCTCAGTGGTACAGTGCCTACCTCACAAGCACAAGGTCCTGAGTTTGATTCCTGGTACCAAACTAAATAAATAAAATAGGGCTAATGAATAAATAATAAAATAGCTTGAGTTATGGTTCTTCGTAGACAAGGAAGCTGAGGTGAAGGAGTAGTCACTTTACTCAAGGTAACAAAGCTAGGATTTAACCCCAAGACTGTCTGATTTCAAAGGTGGTTTCATTTTCTAGCATTTTGGTACCTCCCTACCTGGGCACCAGTAAGACTTCAGAGTTAGGCATTACTTTTGTATATGTGTGTCTAGGAGGGTGAACCCAGAGCCGTGTGCGTACTTAGCACACAGGGGTGCCCCACCACACCTAGCATTTGGTCAGTTATGGCTTAATCCATTGTATTGTTAGATAGCTCAGCAGATTAAAGCACCTCAGCAGACTAAACCCAGCTAGGGGAAGATAGATGACATATAAATGTGATTGGCTTAGTGATTAGTAAAACATTGACAGGGCTGGGGAGATAGCTTAGTGACACAAGTGCCTGCTTGGCAAGCACAAGGTCCTGAATTTGATTTCCAATACCAGAAAGTATATGCTATAAAGTGGCATATAAACATTAGCAATTTCTAATTTCCTTATATCCCAAACATTTCCTTTTATTTTCTTCAATGTTAAATCATACAGCTAATTGGAAGACAGTGTATCTTTTCATCTGTTTGTATTTTGGTTGAGACAGGGTTTTAGTATGTAGTTAGGCCTGATCTTGAATTCACTATGTAGCCCAAGCTGGACTCAAACTTGTGATCCTCCTGCCTTGTGTTCCCAATTGCTGGAATTATAGATGGGTGACACCATGTTTGATATCAAGACATTGTGGGTTTTTTTTTCTTTCCCCTGGAACCAGGGATTGAACTCAGGCCATTGCACTTGCCAGGGAAGCACTTATTCCACTGAGCCATCTCCCTGGCCCCAAAACATTGTGTTTTATTTTTATTTATTTATTTATTTATTTTTTGCAGAACTGGGGATTGAACTCAGGCCCTTGCACTTGCCAGGGAAGCGCTTATTCCACTGAGCCATCCCTCTGGCCCCAACATTGTTTTTTTTTTTTTTGGCGGAACCGGGGATTGAACTCAGACCCTTGTGCTTGCTGGGGAAGCACTTATTCCACTGAGCCATCTCCCCGGCCCCAACATTGTGTTTTAAAGGCCAACTGGATTAAGAATTCAAATTTAGGGCCAGCCAGATAACTCAGCAGATTAAAGTACGTTCTTAGGCAGACACAGGGATCTGCTGTGCTGGCCCTGCCCCTGGGGTGCGCTGAGATGGCAATTGAGACTGGGCATGGTGGCATGCACCTGTAATCCCAGCGCTTGTGAGGCTGTAAACAGGAGGACCATTACAAGTCCATAGTGAGACCCTGTAGACCCTGTAATAAATGCAAAAAAAATTTCAAATTTAACCTGGATTGGTGGCACATACTTGTATCCGAGTACTGGGGAGGCTGAAGCAAGAGGATCACTGTGGATTCCAGGTCACCGTGTGGTGCGCAGTGGTACCCTGCCCCCAAACAGACAGACATGAGCCAGTCATTTAAATATTGCTCCATGAGTGATTCCTATAAGCCTATAGAAAGTGAACACTGACTACCAACTGTGTATCTATCAGGCACTGAGAAATAAGAAAAAAGGAACACTGTTTACAGAGGCATGAATTAGGTGCCATGACTAGAATTAGAGAAGGTCTGAAAGAGTGGATGATCCTTACATAGATTTTTTTTTTTTTTTTTTCTCGGAACTGGGGATTGAACTCAGATCCTTGCGTTTGCCAGTCAAGCGCTTATCCTACTGAACCATCTCCCCGGCCCCCTTACATAAGATTTGAAAGACCAGGAATTTATTGCAGTGGTGTGTACCTGGCTGAGGCAAGACAGTGAGTTTGAAGTAGCCTGGGCAGTTTAGCCAGGTGTGGTTGCATATCCCAAACAATCCAAGCACTTTGAGGTCTGAGGTAGGAGGATTCCAGTTCTAGTCCTACCTGGGCTGTTCAGTGACACTCTTTTTTTTTTTTTGGCAGAACTAGGGATTGAACTCAGGCCTTTGTGCTTGGCAGGGAAGCGCTTATTCTACTGAGCCATCTCCCCAGCCCCGACACTGTCTTAAAGTAAAATATGAAAATACCTAGAGATGTATCTCAGTGTAAAGACATTTAGTTCATTCTTTGGTACCCAAAAAAGAGAAAGGAAGAAGGGAAGAAAGAAAGAAGCTGAGGAGATAAATTCCGTGGGATAAGCCCCTGCCTGACAAGTGCAAGATCCTGAGTTCAATCCCCGATACTGAGGGGAAAAAAAAAAAGCGCAGGAGGAAGCTCAGTGATAGAACACTTGCTTAACATGCTCAGGGCCCTAGGTTCCATCCCATTTGAAAGACCAGTTGACTTAAGGTATGATAATTCTGTAGGGCTGGTGCATGCCTCGGGGAGTTTATGAGGGGAACCTGTAGCTTTAGGAGAGCTACAAGTATTTTTTTTTTCTGGCTGGAGGGATGAGGGTTGGCAGGGTTTAGTGGAAAGAGATGAGGCCAGAGAGGTATTCCAGGGGCAGATTAGGACTGGCCTCCTTGTCCTTGGATCTGGGAGTTTTTACTTTGTCCTGAACGCACTGGAGAACTTTGAATGCTTGTTTTTGGTTTGTTGGTTTGTTTGTTTTCTGTATTTAGGACAGGGTCTACAGGGTCTCACTACATAGGACTTGTAGTGATTCTCCTGTTTTCAGCCTCCCAAGCACTGGGATTACAGGTGTGTGCCACCATGCCCAGTCTGTCA